ATAAATTGAAGTAAAACAAATATACGTCAAATATCTGAAGGACACCCATAAAGAAGTACTAATACTTGCATTTCAAGTTGATAATCTGAATAATTAACCGCGGTTTATACAACTGAAAGAAATAAGAGATACCGGGATTTGTAAGCACCTAATTATTGGAATTAAATTTTAAATAAAAAATTATAATTAAACTATATAGTATGGTAGAGAAAACTTTCTCTATATACACGTCATTTTCATGTTGGGAACGATTGTGTATACTGTACAGTTTCATTGTAGTAAGTGAAATTCGAACCTGTTGTATTGGAGCCCACTTGCCTCAATAATGAGGTAAATTGATACATATCACTGTATAAATTGCTTATACGACGAATTTCGTATTAAATTAATAAAAACGTAATAAATACAAAAAGCTGATTGTACGTATAATTCTTGATAAAGATTTATCATTTTAAAAGATTTTTTTAAGTTAATTTTGTAATAAACGTATAAAATAACACTTGTTACAGAAAAACAAATGTGTAGACTACTTTGATTGAACTTACTTCAATATGAAAATGTTAAATAAAATTAACTTATACATAATAAATTTCTATATAAATAAATATATATATATATATATTAAATAAATAAATAAATATATATATATATAAAGCATTCTGTCAGAGTTAAGTTGTAATTAAATGTTTACATACTTTCTCATACGCATGAAAACAGCAAGTCAAGCTAAGCTATGTATAAAGAGTCGTATTCCATCCCCACATATAATTATTACATTTAATTTATTATATATTGTTATATATAATATACATTGTATATATTATATTTTTTATTATACATTATATATTATAAATTACTCTTATTATTCAAAAAATAACATATAATATAGTAATAGAAACTTTTATAAAATTATGAAATATCCTTAACAAAAATTTCATTGCTTACTCTTGAATCAGAATTTTCTATTTTTTAATTGCAATACTTGTTTGATCTAAATAAAACTTAAGGAATAATATTTGTGTTATAAAAGAGAAAAAATTTTATATAAATGGAATGCAATACTAACTTACCTCTTATACCAACGAGCCATTGTTTCCTCTATTTAAAATTTACATATAAATGTAATTAGATACCAAGCTTCGACTATATTGACTCTTCTTTATTTACTCGATTTATTCGTGTAGCGGTCTACGTTAACTTATTAATACTATCTCGAACGAGAAAATTAATTAGCTAATTCCTTAAGTTGTGGATATTTATATCAGTGCACCTATCGTAGAATGAGATTAAACTGTGCAAAATGGGAGCACGGACGTGTAAAGGGAAGACAAAAGCGTGTCACGATCTATTTAGCATAGTTACGAAAGATTCATCATTGTTGCAAAGTTACCAAAGCCATGAAATCGCGCAACGCGTGCTTGACGGGGCATGTAATTAGTATGTTAATTCATTCACCAACAACTCGTATTCAGGATCTCGGCATCCTGCCGGGATGCGGCGTGTATTATGCAACGGATAATTCTCAGCTGTCATTCGCGGGACGGCGCGATCCGTTCGAATGTATGCAAACGCACCGAACACTTCTATTCTGCGCGCGAGATCCGTGGGCTTCTCGCGGAGGGACAGGGGAGGGAATGTAAATCAAATTATCAAATCAGCGTCGATCCACCTTGGCGAATCGCAAAGCGCCAAACGCGCCGCGCGGTGAGAAGAGCGAAACGGGAGTTGATCGGGCGTATAGAATCGACCGTGTTTGGCAGTCCATCGAGGCGATCGAGGTGGCGACAAGTACGTTAGGGCGCGTTTCGATGTTAACCGTCGCGTCGCGGTTAAGCGATCGAGCGACCTATCGATCGGTCGACTTGCAAGTTTTCCACCGTTCATTGCCAAGCGGCGAGTCACCGCGCGACGTCGCGTCGATCGCGTCGGCGCGGCGCGGTGCGGCGGACGCGGCGGAATAATATTTCCGTCGCTCGGCATTGGGATCACGTTGACGGTACGTCGGTGTTTTAATTAATCGATCGCGCGCAATTAATTCATCGGCGCAATCGACGGCGGTTCGCCCGCCGTGCGGGCCATAATAATAGGCTGGCGAGAGTGGAGGGCGACGGTGTTTCACGGGGACGTGTTGTCGCCGCGCAGGGCAGCGCAGCGCCGTTCCCCATCTACGTGCCGCGCGCGGGCCCTTCTTATTTAAACTAATTGATTTATTACGCAGCCCGCTGCTAGGAGAGCGCCTTTCTTTAATAATCCCTCATTGGGCCCGGGGAATAAGGGACGACGCCATCGTGAAAACTTATGCAAGCGGAGTCTAGATGCGCCGCGCTCTAACGTACGGGGACGTGAGAGCAATGAATATATTTAACAAATTAAAACAGATCGTGACGGTCGTCCGGACGCACAATGTCTTAATCTCTGTGTGAGTATATATGTGCGCATGTGTATGTGTGTGCTCCCTTGTTACTTCTCGGCTTCTCGCTAAATTAATTCCGCTAAAGATATCGATCTTATTTTATTTCCATTTCAACATTATTAATAATTGCGACTTAATGCATATACGATATGTGCAATAATTAATTATATTACATTTCGCTACGTTAGAATGATAGAAAATGACACAAATAAAAAATTAGCGTTAGGATTTTAATTTTAAAAACACATAGTATTAAAGAATAAATATAATTAAAGTATAATACGGAAAGAAAGTAAGGTTATGCATATATTCACTACGTTAATTAAAATGTTGTTTTAATCCAGAATAAAAAAATGTTCTTTTGAAAAGTTGTTAATATTGAAATGCGTTACTTTTCTATCAGTAATTATGTCACATTTCGCCACGTTGATAAAAAAGTTATTCAAATAAAAAATTAGCAGTGTTCGAATTTTGAAAATTCACGATATAGCTTTAAAGAATACTTATAAGATAATCAGACCCTAGATGATTTATTCAAGTTTTGCTATTTTTTCTCATTTTTGCTGAGTTTAAAATTAAAAACTGATAGTCAGGTTCAAAAAATAAAACATTTCTGAATAAAAAAATAAAAGCATCTTCAACTATTTACATAGTGTAGTGAACATTTTAAGAAAATAAAGTAACATTTAGGTCATACTTATTGTGCACAATATGACTTAAAATACATGTTTTTCTCTTTTTCCGAACAAAATGTTGAAAAAATAAAAAATAAAATAATCCAATGTTACTTTTATAAGTTTATTAACATATTGACATATTTGTTCCCAGATAGCATAAAGAGTTCAAAAAGAATTCAGTGATATGTCATCAATTCTGAATTCATTTTCGGATGCAAAAAGAATTCTCTTTTTGAAAAGTTCTGAAAAGAATTCTTGTTGCATCTGAAAATGAGCTGAATTCGTTTTGAGTTCTTTTGAACCCTCTGTGTTATCTGGGTTGACCTAGACAAGAATACAAAAAACTATCGTGTTGGTTCTATCTTATAAAGAAATTTTTTCTCTTTGATTACAACAAAGCACTGTGATGAAAATATAAACTAGATACAGGATTGTAAAGTATAGATACAAAGTTACAATAAAATGAACTACTGAAATTAATAACTATCTCTTGGTGTAGTTATAGAAATTAATTACTTACCTACAAAATATTACATCACGATCACGATGTTCTGCATTTCACTTTATTGATAATAACAGAATGAATAAACCGAGCAATAAACTAATGCAATAAAGTCAGAAGAACAGCCTGCACGACTCACTATAATGCTATCTGTTGAATGTACGGTAATTATTGTTAATATCACTATTATTATTATTAATTTAATTATTACAAACGGCAAATAGGGCATATATTGTGTACTAGGTCAGGATATCCGGTTACTTTAACCGAAAGTATAACGTGGAAAAAGTTATGCATACTGATTATCATAAAAAGTTCCATTTCAGGATTTAAAAAATGCTCTACTAAAATAAGTTGCTAATTTTGAGACGTGTCACTTTTCTATCATCGCAGTAATTTATAATGCTTTCATAGTATCTCCGAAAATATAACCTGTTACTATTGAATAATTGTCGTTCTTTAATCCTACATTACTCGCATAGTTTCTTTAACAGAATTATTTGCGTAAAATGTTTCTAACGTATTATACTTCAAATTCTCATTGTTCTCTTCGGTGACTTATAATTAAATAAAGACTGATAATATTCTAAATATCCCGTAGATGCAAAAAATTATTTTTAATTGTAAAACAATCTGCGCTGAATATAATAATGTGCATGTATTAATTGCATTTAAACATTTAACGAGTTTATAAGGCTGTAGAGGTATCCTAGATCCGCCCTGTGCAAGTAATGAAGGGTTAACAATTATTAAAGAATAAATCAGTGTATCAAGTGCTTAATTACGTTCAATTAAAAAGCTATATATAGAATGAGTTTTAAATTAGTTAAGCGTAAAACCTAAAAAAAGAAGAGAGGAACAGCAGTCTCGTAAATCCGCATAGTCTCGTAAATCCATCGTTTCTGACAGATTCTACATCCCTCTGACACGCCATACGTGGCCAAAGGGTTAAGCTTGTTTCAACGAACGAGATAGGGTGATAGCTTTCGATGTGACAAGCTGATTTGCTGTACGTCGAACGAACAAAGGCGAGTCAAGTCGAAGAAAGTTGCTAAAAGGATCCAGTAGCGTGTTCTTGTGGACGGACGGACAGACAAGGGTCCGGATAGGTCGTCCTCCGGTCGAGTTTATTACCCGAATTAATTGGTTTATAGATCGCCCCACTCTGATGGTCGAACCACGTGCGGTTAGTCGACGATGACCGAGGGGGAGAAATAGGGAGAAAATGACAGAAGACGGCCCGGCAAACGGGAGCGAGAGAAAACGATTTGAAAATGCAGTAAATGGGGGGATCATGCGTGAGAAGGAAAGCCGACGGAAAGGAAGAGGAGCGAGAGAAGGGCTCGACGAAGGGGAAAGGAGAAAATAAGCAAAAGGAGGAGGGAGAGAAGGGGATCATGATCCGGAGAGTGGTGGTGGAGCATGCGCGGGTGGGAGTGGCACCTTATTCGTCGTACCGCTCCCGCCAAGGGTTTCTGTCAACTACGAACTGCCGATGGTAAAGGTACTCGGGTAAATCTGCGACGACGAGGCCGGTGTTCCGTGTTCGTTCTTCGTTGCCACCAGGCGAATTCACGGTGTCACGCGTGTTCGCAGAAACCCGACTTCCGTTCCTCTTGAACATGACGCGGAGACAAGTGACCATCGCTTAGTTGTGACTTGTTTTTTTTTTTTCCATTAACTTTAAAAACAAAGAATATTACAAGACAGTGACACGTAACTTTCGCGGGACCATCCGTCGAGTTGAGAGATTCGATCGCGATCGCCGAAGAAGTCGATGAGAGGTGTGTTTGAAAGTGATAGTGCGCACGCCAGGATACATTTGAGGAACCACTGAAAAAGGATACAGTGACGACTAACGAATCCGAGAAATGTGTGAATTAGAACGATAATCGAGCGCGATGCAAGGAGTCGCGCTTGCGACGGGCGTACGTCGCGGTGGGAGAAAATAAAGGTGGACAATTGCGATCGCGGCACGTGGCCAAAAGTGTCACGTGGATGCATCGCCCGTTCGTGTCGGGACCCGTTTCCGCTCGCGAGAATTTGCAAACGTCAGAAGGAATTTTCCCGATTCGCGGGGGAAAAAAAGAGATCGCGAGACTGGAAAAAAATCACGAGGAATCCATCGAACCGCGAAATAAACGCGAAAAAACTGGAAATTCACGCTCGCTGCTTTCTGCTTTTTTCCCCTCTCGCTGCGCAACGAAGAAAAGAATGAAAAAGGATCCAGACGCGAAGTGATTCGGCCGGTAACCGGATGAGATTTGCAAAACGAACTGGTGTTTTGCGCCACTCTCTCGCGTAAGGCTTTCGCTTTGACATAACTAACGTTGTCGAGTCGCGGTCGGTTAATCAACGACGAGGAGTCGCCGATGAGGGAAAGGCGAATCAGTTTGTTTCCGCTTTCGAGCCCTCATCCGACTTCGGAGGGAAGGAATCCGGCCTATACGAGGCCTATAAGCTCCTCGAAACGCATCGACGCTCACGTCTCGCGATGTGTAATCATTTTTCATGCGTTAATTAGCGAGAATCTGGGAAAACGGAGGGAGCAGCGTTAATGCGCGCGTTGTGAAAGAGGGTCGTTCTGTTCGAGAGAGGAACGAAGGGACGAGTTTTGCGAGGGAGTGATATCCGTTTGACGGGGAAATATACGGGTGGTGTGCTCGGTAGCGCGGTGCGCACCTGAGCAACATCGGGTGCGCAAAAAAAAAAAAAAAACAAAAAAACAAAAAACAAAAAGAAAGGGAGAGAAAAAAAGGAAACGGAAGAGACGCCCTCGCGTAAAAAGTTCACGAAAGCGCCCGAGGGAGAGTGTCCGGGGGAAGTTGCGGGAGACAAAAAACATTAACGGGACAACGTTTACGGCGGAAATAGCGGCCACCGTCTAACAACTGACGATAAAAGGATCGTTAAGCCCCAAGAAGACCTCCGCGGAATGACCCAAGTAAAGCGGAGCAATAGCGAAACTACTTTCGTGCGGATATACGAAAGCTAAGTGCGCTTATTGTGGTTTCCACGAAAGCACACGTGGCGGTGTCGGAAAAACGTTCCCGTTCGCGAGGAATCGGGAGAATCTCCTCGTTGAAGAAATAAATCACGAAAAGGATAACGTCCTAACGTGATAATTCAATTTTGATTCAATTCGCAAGTGGTACAACAGCTGTCTTCTATGATATCGCGGTCAATCAGTACTTCTAAAGGAGCAAATTAGAAAAGCAACATTACGACAGAAAAGTAAATCGAGAAAGTCATGAGATTCCAGGCGTTCCATTAAATCCGAACGCAAAATGGAATTGTTTTCACACTAAACCGCGCGATCGATATATACATATATATGGATTTTTCTTCTTAAAAGCACGAGGAATCCTCCCGCGAGAATCGAAAAGCGTGGGAGACGTCGAGTGAGAACAAATCGACGAACGCGCAAGAATTTCGCTGGCTCGATCGAAATCAACATTCAAATGCGGGCTCTCGACTGTCTCTAAGGTATCGAGGAATATCGACACCGACGATCTTCTCGGCGAGGTACACGTGGCGTCGTCGGAAATCGCTGATCGTTTCACTTCGAACACGAGGAAACGAAGAGCGCGTTGAAGTGGGCGGACTCGATTAAACGAAAATTCCCTGACGCGACGGCTGCAAAATTTCGCGGTTGTAACTTCCATTCTTTTTCTCGCGAGAGAAACGGTACAAACGGCCGCGATTATCCTCCCCCTGTGATCCCACGCGGCACCGCCCCGCACAAATGTCAAGTGAACGATGAAGTACCCGAGAGTGCAGACGAGGAAGAAGTGGGACGCCACTTCGCTCGACGGCGAATCGTGCTCCAGGTGCGGCAAGTGTCTGACTAAAATGCAGCTCGTACTACTGTCCGCACTATTCTGCTCTTCTCTGACGACAGGTGAGGCAGCTTTAATCTCGCCGGGGTGACACCTTTTCCTTCCCCGCGTTCACTCTTTCTCCCCCTCCGTTGCATAATTTATTTTTTCTTGCTATTTTAAGACCGGCTGCGATTTACATGCGGCTTTTTGATCGTAGAGTACTTTTCAATCCTTCTGAGATATTTTCTGAATTTTTTGAAATATATAATATAAATCTCTCTCCGACTTTTGCAACATCCAGAGAATTTCACTTTTAAATTATAAGTTTCGAATATTTAAATTATGAGTTTCGAATACTTAAGCATTTAATTTTTGTGCCGATATAAACGTCACAATGGCATTTACATGATTGGAAAGAGTGAGTAAGATTTATCTACAGCAGAGCCGCGCGCAATTAGCATAATGAATAATTGTGCCGCGCACGCCCGTGATACGTCATTCCACCGATAAGTGCTTAATAGGTAAATTAACGGTGACAAAGTGACGCAATTAATCCGGTAACTAGTTATTAAAGTCATCGCGGATACGCTGCGCACCCCATCGCTATTATGGCGGTAAACCTCGTTTTACCGTAGGCTGAAAAGAGATTGGGATCATAAATATTCAGCGACGTTTAAAGCGAACGCGCCCGTTGAGAAATTTTCACTTTGAACGATATACAATGATATACATGTACATGAACATACCAATGTACACACACACATATGTATATAAAATATATATATTATATATCCGGATCGCGCATAAGCGGAAGACGAGCAATTTAACAAGAAACTTTGTGTCGTCCCACATAACGCGACAAACTTAGCGTAACCGATGTAATTCACGCGCAAAGAGCTCTCCGGCTCATAACGCCGTGGATTCAGGACTATTACACATTCCACCCGCGACGGATGGAAAATATAGAGATAGCAAGTAATGCGTTATTTAAAACGTCATTACTTTTATCGTTACTTTTTTATAGTAACAATTTGGTAAAGTTACAATTTTTCATGACATATAACAATAACGTCATGGTTGGAATGATCACTTTTAAAAGTAACTCGTTACTTTTTTAAATGAGAAATATGTAATGCCTTAATAGAAATTTCATGCATTTTTCGATCAGTTACTAGGCAGTCATATTAACTTTGTCTAGTAACTGAAAAGTGAAACTACTTTAGAATTTTAATCAAGATCTATAACGCTTTACCTGCAATTACCGTGTATAAAAGATGCACAAAATCTAAACTCATTTACTAGACAAAAATAGGCTAATATATAAATTATGCAGTATTTTATCTAATAATAATTTATTGATACTAAACAATAATTTAGCACGTGTTTAAGCAAATTGCATATATTTTATTCAACCACATAAAACTCTTATCAAGTTGTTATTCATTTCCTACACAATATTGTTGCAACTAATGAGAGTATAAATAATAATAGAAAGAATGATTTTGCTCTAGTATCTAAAAATTTAGCTAAATACAGATCTAAAAATAATTATTCAAGATGCTTGAGCGTGAGCACCGCTGCAAAAAATTTTGATATTCACTGGAAAAAACTTCTAGTTGAAAATAAAGAAATCAGAATTTTCTGGTTAAATTTATTAAAATTCTAATTGAGATAACCAGAATTCTGATACAATATTTCTAGTAAAATCTATTAGAATTCTTTTTACCAGAATAATTATATCAGTCAGAATTCTAGTTATCTCAACTGGAATTCTAATAGATTTAATCAGAAAATTTTGATTTGTCAATTTTTAACCAGAAATTGTGTTTTCAGTGTATTAAATTTAATTCAATAATAATTAATTATTATTATTATTAAATTAAATTTCAGATCTGTATCTAGCTAAATTTTTTAATACTTTAACAACGTTCTTTCCGTACATTGTTTCGGGATGTTTACGAGCTACTTTCAAAACTGTTTCAACCCTGGCGTTATCATTACTGTCATGAAAATTAGTAACGTCATTATTATAAATCGCTATTATAAAAAAATAACGGTAATAGTAAACGTTATTTGCTCTATCTCTACAAATATTTATACCGCAGATTGCTTACCGGTAATTAAGTTGTATTAATAATACACCGCGAACAATTATTACACGGACATTAACGGTTATTGCTGTGTGCCGAGCTGTGCGCCATGCTATTCATAACGTAATGCGAAATGATTTTATGATACGTTGAGCCATGAATTTTCGTTAAATCCACGCACGTCACGTTTCGTGCAAAAGCTACGTGATTACAGTATGATAATTTTGTGATGTTTAATCATAAATTGCGACCCTCGGCGTTCTCTTTTCATCGGAGGATCTTATATACTGAAGAAACGATACTTAAGTTTCAGGATTATTTTACAGAACGAGTTCTCTTGCTCTCCCTAAGAAAAATATGTCCGACCGGAGGACGCGTATAAATTTCTCGAAACAAATATTTTTATTCCACGCTGCGGAAACAATCTCGCAATTTCAGTACGTCAGAGGCAAGACCGGCAATTTTTACGCTTGCGTGAAAATGTATTCAAATCGGTTACGTGCAAAATTCAAAGCGATCATGGTACGTCATTTGTTTTCTCCTAACGTAAGAACACCGTACCGGCACGTATCCCCTGTGTCACAGAGGTCGTCGTCGACCTCGGGCTCGCGTAAATGCAGTCGATCTGCGGAAATCCGATCTTGGCAAGAAGTCGCAATTGAGACGATTCGTTCGTGGCGATCGTCCGCCACGCCACGCGTTGACCGCGGCTACCGAGATCGAGCTTCCCTCGGGGCGTGCGAGGTGAACGATCCGCCGTCGTGGAACTCGATCGATCGATGGATATAAATCAAGCGCGATCGTAGAGGAACCTAAATTTCCCGCCTGCCTTGAACAAAGAAACGCGATCGTTTTCGCGGATGGAAGGTACGACCGGATGGAAAAAAGAAAGGTACTCCGGGAAAGACGGAAGAGACAGGAAGGAGAAAGACAGAAACAGAGGGAGAGAGCGAGAGAGAGAGAGAGAGAGAGAGAGAGATATCCGGCGAAAGAAAGGCGTGCAGATGTGGACGAATGCGACGCGACGGGCAACGGAAGGAGATTATGCAAACGGCAGCCAATTCGATCGAAGTGCACTGCAAATAACCGCAGTTTTAACCCATTCGATTAAATGCACGAGAAAGCTGGCTGCCTGCCTACCGTCCATTAGAATATCGCGCTCAGACGCGTAATCTCAGACGTCTACAGCTGAACGTCGATGTTTGTCGAGGAAGGGGGCGGACATTTGTCATTAAAGGTCAGGTATCATTAAAATCTTACTATTGGTTGACTCGTCATGTCATTCATGAAATCGTCACCTTCGCCGATCCGTTGAATTCCCTTGACGTAGGCTTTCGCAAATGTTTTGAATTTTGAACTGAGAGAGCAATGGTTGCAATTACCATAATTTAACTGTAATTTATAGTCATTTTTATTTATAATCGCAAGTAAAAATTAGACCGATAAGAACAAGTAAGAAAAGGAATTCTATTTTCAACCGAAGTGGATCATGATGCTTAATAATATTCATATGAAATGTGTTTATAAGTTCGAAAAGCCAATTCGATACTCAGTTCAAATGACTATAAATATGATATATATATATGCATGCATATATATATATATATATATATATCTTTTATAATGGTTATTGCACGATTTCTTGGACTTTATTCTTATAATTATTTGTTTCTGTAATCACATCTCTCAGCATCAAATAGTAAACCACATATTTTTACAAGTTTTTATAATTTTATCAATAACATGGTACTTTTTCACATTGTTCCAGAAATGAATTGCAACGAAATTCATGCACTTCACTTAGGATCTTTCAATTCTTTAGTGGCTAATATTGATGCATGAGTGATGTTTCATAATTTTAAAGAACTGTATTAACGTTGATGATGACTCTAAAAAGAATCGAAACGTTCGTTTTTATAGAAATATATACAATCAATTACTGCACTGATTAACAGTATTATTTGATCACGCTCCAACAACTGCGTTACTCTCATTTGCCCGATTTCTCAAGATTTTATTAAGTAATTCAGATTAAATTATTTAAGCATCAAAAATTTAACTTTGAGCGTTATGGCCATTACTCCTATTTCTTATTGTTGAATTTTCCAATGTACGGTCCAATAAGATTCTTATTGTTAATATTCGTGAGCGAATAATATGCGTATTTGGAAGTACATTTCAGTTCTATAAACTGAGCATCGATTCGATTGGTTGGATTTGAAACGCAATCGTAAATTGAAGATGGAAATAACAAATTACAAATTACATTGATTGTCAATTTAATAATGGTACTAATAAGTATATTAAAATACTGCAAAAAATATATATTTATTGTTTTAACTATGTAAATTATTAGTTGCTTCAACATTATGATTATCCCAACCATGATATGCACTCATAAGCGAAAGTGATTGTTTCATTATTTTTTAAATATATTTTTTAGTTGTCTATTATTATATATCACGTAAATAGTAAATGTGTTAAAAAAATATGTTATATTGACTGTAATTATAATTGCAATAGCATTTACATAAAAATGATTACTTTATTTACTATTCGTATCTATATTAAATTTGAAATTACTATGATTATAATATAATTTTTTGTAGTTGGTAGAACTATATAAATAGGGATGAGATTGTTATTATTAACATTATAGCAATACACATTATAGCAATAATAATTATATAAAAAGATTTTAACCATAATTATTTTACCATGCAATCATAGTAACAAATATTAAACACTTTTCTTTCAGTGCGCGAACAAAAACTGGGAAACATTTTAGTATCATTTACTTCTAAAATAACATAAAGAGAAAGTACAATATTTTAAAATATACTGTCATTTTTATATGTATTATATATATATATATGTATATATGACTTATGTTATTTTAAAGATAGATGATACTATATTTCCTTCAGTTTTTATATAGAATATAATGTTTTACAATATTATACAATATTTATAAAATATATACAGATAAA